CTAAGTAAGCTGATAAAAGTTACTAAAACCTAAATCACATAGCTAACTTTTTTCTCTAGAACAACACCTACACTGGGAGTTAGGACTTAATGGAGATAATTTTAGAAAAGTCTATTATTAGGGGAAAAAAGGACAGTTACTTAAAGAGTTTGGGGCTGTTATGTAGTCACTGAAGATGAAAATGGAAAATGAAATTCTGTTCCTGTAGCTCTATAAGGTCATCATTGTTGAAGTGTGTGAAAATCTCACGGGACAGCTGGAATTGTCATCAGTCACCCTTGAATAATTATGATCTTGACCGAGAACACTCTCAGGACTGATCAATAGTCACCAGGAATTACTCAAACAAAATTGTATTACAGTCATCCCTCAGTATCCTCAGGGAACTGGTTCCAGCACCAATCCTCCCTCCCCCACCCAATGGATGCCAAAATCTGCTGATGCTTAAGTCCCTTTTATAAAATGAAGGTGTATTTACATATAACTTGTGCACATCCTCCCTTATGCTTGCTTGCTTGCTTGCTTTATTTATTTAACATTTTTGTATTGAGTTATAGTTTACAATGTTGTGTCAACTTCCCGTGTAAAGCACAATTTTTCAGTTATACATGAACCTAAATACATTCATTTTCACATTCTTTTTTGCTGTGAGCTACCACAAGATCTTGTATATATTTCCCTGTGCTATACAGTAAAATCTTGTTTATCTATTCTACATATGCCTGTCTATAAATTTCAAACTCCCAGTCTGTCCCTTCCCATCCTACTCCCCACTGCAACCACAAGTTCGTATTCTATGTCTATGAGTCTGTTTCTGTTTTGTATTTATGTTCTTTGTTTTTTTTTTAGATTCCACATATGAGCGATCTCATATGGTATTTTTCTTTCTCTTTCTGGCTTACTTCACTTAGAATGACATTCTCCAGGGACATCCATGTTGCTGCAAATGGTGTTATGCTGTCATTTTTATGGCTGAATAGTATTCCATTGTATAAATATACCACCTCTTCTTTATCCAGTCATCTGTCCATCTGATGGACATTTAGGCTGTTTCCATGTCTTGGCTATTGTAAATAGTGCTGCTATGAACATTGGGGTGCAGATGTCTTTTAGAAGTAGGGTTCCTTCTGGATATGTGCCCAGGAGTGGGATTTCTGGGTCATATGGTAAGTCTATTCCTAGTCTTTTGAGGAATCTATATACTGTTTTCTACAGTGGCTGCACCAAACTGTATTCCAACCAGCCATGTAGGAGGGTTCCCTTTTCTCCACAGCCTCTCAAGCATTTGTCATTTGTGGACTTTTGAATGATGGCCATTCTGGCTGGTGTGAGGTGATACCTCATCATAGTTTTGATTTGCATTTCTCTGATAATTAGTAATATTGAGCATTTTTTCATGTGCCTATTGATCATTTGTATTCCATATACTTTAAATCATCTCTAGATTACGTGTAATACTAATACAACATAAATGCTATGTAAGTAGGTGCTGGCATGTGGCCAATTCAAATTTTGCTTTTTGCAGCTTTCTGGAAGTATTTTCCAAATATTTTTTATTTGAGGTGGAACCAGTGGATACAGAGGGCCAACATTATTTGTTAGCACAGAACAATTTTCTTGGTTTACCTTGACTAACTCCTGGATTGCAGTCTGTCCACAGGAGACTGACACGATATGTTTGCAACTGATTCAAGTGTCAAATTGATACATTCTAGCTTGTAGGGTTCTCTTTTAATGTTGAAGGAGTAGGTGGCAGGCTATTCTTGATTTGAATCCCCAGCATATGGCAAAACTCTCAAAATGATACAAAAGAAATCTATTATATTTAAGGTCTTACAAATACCTAATGATGGTTTAAAATTTAACAAATAAACCTGTTGATGAAATAAACAAAGATGATTATACCAAATTGGTAAGAATTAAAAAACATGTCTTAAAATTTGGCATTCTCTCTGAACAAGAAACATAAAGGCTGAGAAACTGCTAATACACTTTTCTCTTTTAAATCGAAGTTAGATATAAATTTGTAAAATTAAAGTGAGAGGTGCAATTTAAATACCATGTTAATTTCCCTCATTTTCCCCAACATTTCAAGTATACAATGGTGATATGCAGAGAATTATGTGTTTCTATAGTCTAATATACTTCATCCACAGCAGACTTTATTCAGTATTTCTGAAGAAAAGATCAATTTTAAATGTTTGCACAGAAAGAATTGCATAGGAGAAACAGTGTTGATTGTTTTAGACATTTTAATTCAGATAATATTGCAGACTAACTTTTTCTGAGTTATGCATGTTAATATCAATGTTTTACACATTTGTGTCATTTTAGCAAATAACTAATATAAGAAAGATCTTCCTATGTATGCTTCTGGAAATGTGCAAATTTGTATTCTTAAAAATTGTCTGTCAGTAAAGTACACTTACAACTCAGTAACAAAAAGACAAACAACCCAATTAAATAATGGATGAAGGACTTGAAGTGACATTTCTCCAGAGAAGATAAATGTCCAGCCATCACATGAAAAGATGATCAATGTCATTAGTCATTAGGGAAATGCAAATCAAAACCATAATGAGACACCATTTCACAGTTACTAGGATGGACATGAGAAAGAAAAGGAAAATAACAAGTTTTGGGGAGGATGCGGAGATATTAGAATTCTCATACATGGTTGATGAGAATGTGAAATGGTACAGCCACTGTGGGAAACAGATGATTCCTTAATAAGTTAAACAGAATTACCATATGATCCAGCAATTCCATTCCCAGGTATATACACAAAATAACTGAAAATAAGTGTTCAAATAATAACCTACATATGAATGTTCATAGTAGCTGTATTCACAATAGGCAAAAGATGGAAACAACCCAAATGCCCACGAGTGGAGAAATGGATAAACAAATGGTGGTATATCTATACAATGGAATATTATTCAGTTATGAAAAAGAATGAAGTACTCATACACACTACAGAATGGATGAAGCTTGAAAACATGCTAATGTTTTCATAGCATACAGAAAGACCCTATACTAAATGACTCCATTTAGATAAAATACGCAGAATTGGCAAATCCATAGCAACAGAAGTTAGATTGGTAATTATCAGGGGTGATGTATGGGGAGTAGTGGAAATGGAAAGTGATTGCTTAATAGGTAAGGGGTTTTGGTTTGGGGTAGTGGAAATATTCTGGCACTAGATAGTGGTGATGATTGCCTATCATTGTGAATGTACTTAGCTCTGAATTATTCCTTATGTGTAGCCAGTTTTAGTGGCTATAATGGTAAATTTTATATTATGTGTATTTTAGCACACATACAAAAAAGAAAACTAGAAGAAATCTACTTAAATCATAGATTCAAAACATTATCCTTCTTTTGAATCAAATGTATGTTTATCCACTGTATATAACAGAAGAGACTTCATTATTTTTCAAAATAATTTTTCTATACTCAGATGAAATGATGCTCTTCTGAGTGAATACCAATAGCCATTAAAAATGTGCATTCATATTGATTTTGTACCAAACATGTGAATCATGTGATTAGAGTTTCCATAATCTTTAGTCCAATGAAGTGTCATGTGCTATCAGACCTAATGCTCTATTTCTAGTGACGGCTATGGAGTAAGGGTAGTGATCAAAGGCACAAGTTTTAGAGTTAAGTGGATCCATATGCTAGCTTTTCTAATACTAGATGTGGGACTTTAGGCAAGGTGGAGTAATTTCTCAAGTCAGTTTTCTCATTAGTAGAATGGGGATAATAATATTTATTTTACCCTGATGTAAGAATTGAATGAGTACATATATGAAAAATAGTTATCACTGGACTTTGCATACAGTAAATTTTCAAGATGGTAGCTACTTCTAAAACTTATATGTACTTTTTCTAATGGAATCCTTCTGTAAAATTTGTGAAGTATTCAACTTCAGTGGGAAGGAAGCCCACTCATCTTGCCTTAGCAGAATTCTTAGTGGGATGGTGTCTTTTCCCTTGCTGACTAGATTTTAGCAGAGTGGTAATTTTAACTAAGTGAAGAGGTCATCAGTGAAAGCAGTCACCTCCCTACTTCCATAGTCCTCCTTTCCCCATCATAGCTCTCCAAGTGTTTTGGAACCCATTCTGCAGAGGAGAGTGTTCTAGCTTTTGGAAAGTAACTCGAGTGCTAGCTCAACGTGTATCTCCTTACTAAACTAATCATGAGTAGGAAGCGTTCAAACAAAGAAAAAGAAATTTAGTGCTTACTTGAAGTTTATAAAGAAAGCAGAAAGGAAGGGGGGGGGAAGAGGGAAAAAAGGAAAGGATGAAAAATAAAGGAAGTCAGTCTTGTTTCTTTAACCACGCTCCAAGTTACTAATTTCAAATTGGTCCAAGTACCCAAACTTTTAGGCAATATGGGTCACATTCCCTCTGATATGCAGCCAACTACATAAAGAAGCTGACATTAAAAACTCTAAGGAAATCATGACTCTTGCAAAACAAAAGACAAAGGGAGCACAAAGGATCATAATTCAAATGGGAAACTTGCCCGATGGTCTCAGCTCAGCACAAGGCTTCCCACATCTTCTTGACATCATTCAGCTGGTTGTCAGCTGTACATAAAGCAGTTTTGCTAAAGGGTGTGAAGAAAACACTTAAGTGTAAAACGTATTACCTGGTCCTCAAAGGAGCTTACAACAGCGCTGGAGGGATTAGCCCTGTAACTAACACTCCAAGGCGGTCAATGAAACGTGACAAACGAGTTGGCAGGGGGTTGAAGGCGGAGGAATTCACAGTTAGGGATCATTGGGGCTAGGAGCTTGTTAAGGAAGGCTTTAACAAGTGGGAAGTTAGCTAGGAGCTAAGAGGCGGGTAGGGTTTTAGGTGGGCGGGAAGTCGTGCGGGTTAAAGACTCAAACCCGGCATGCGGGCGTGGCGCGCAGGGCGGACCGGCTAACTCGTCGCCCACGGCGCGTGCGCAACCAACGCTCGCTGCGGGTGCGCGGCCCGCGGGAAGCAGGCCAGGACCCGCGAGCGCGAGACCCCGAGCGCCAAGGCGGGAGAAGGCTCGCGCATGCGCGGCTCGGAGCGTCGGGCTCGCCAGGATGGGGAAGGGGAGGTGGAGTTTCCTTGAGGGAACTTGACCCGTTAGCTGCCGCGGCCATGGCGGCGCGCTCGCCGCCCTCACAGCTGCTTCTGCCCCCGGCGCGACAGTTGGGGCCCCGGTCCCCATGTGTTGGGCGGGGAGCTGTGGCACACGCAGTGCGCAGCGAGGCCTCGGGTCTTGCCGGCGCAGCGCGGGAGGGCGTCGTGGACAAAAGCGATATACCCTGGCGGGGCGAAGAAGGGTCAGAGGGCCAGCGAGGGCCAGCGGGGACAGCTCCGGCTCAGGCTCCCCTCCTCAGCGCGCCCATGGGGTCCATGCGGCTAGAGGGCATCTCGGTAGAGGAGGCGATGGTGACCCGGACGCAGCTGCTGGAGGAAGAGCTGAGCAGCCTAAAGGAGGAGCTGGCCCTGTGTCAGGTATTGGTGGGGAGGTGCGCCCCTCTCCCTCTGCCTTCTGCTGTGTCGCTGCGCGGTCTTGGGACCCACCCACCTCCTCCCGGCGGCGCTGGGTCCCGGCTCCCACGCCCAGCCCTGCCGCTGCTGGGTGCTGGAGGGAGGCGGCCGCTCCCGGTAACCCGACTTGGGGCTCTCGCCCTTCTCCCGACACCGGCCAGGCAGGGCTGTCCTTGGCGCCCCAGGTTTGGTCGTCTTCACTTGTATACCACCGAAGCGCGAAGTCGCACCCCCACCGCCCCAAAGCGCAAGTTCTGTGTCGGGACGGTGGTGATACTTGAGGCAGCAGGAGTGGAGTGCAACCCACGAGTTGAAATGTGGGACAGGAAAGTGTAAACATTTTTATAAAAAATAAAACCCACTGATGAAGGAGCCTAGTTTTAATTTCCAAACCCACACTTGTCCTTATTCTTAAGCAGAATTTAAGTTGTTGAAACAGATCAGTAGTTTTTAGGGAGTCTCAGGTCTGGAACTTTCACACACAGTAAATGGTGCTTGATACTTGTTTATTAACCACTTAAACTAATTCCGTACTTCTGGAGTGAGAAATACCGTTTTCGTGTCATCTTGCCCGTGAAAAGCATTTACTAAATCAGTCGCCTTAACATTACTTTCCTGTTATTTGTAGTTTGTGTATACTAAAGATGGCTTGGTTACTCATGTTCAAAAAGATTTGATTTTCCTTTAGTTTTGCATCCTTACCACCATCTCTTCTCTGGTATTACCAGAACCTTTGGCAGGGAGTTGACTCAGCAATAGATCTTTGAGTCACTCAGTCTTCAAGACAGAACCAGTTAATAAGAACTGATAAACAACAAGGTAACTTTATAAACTAACTCTCATCAGTTTAGGTTAATATAAATTCATGAAATTCTTTCTCATAGTTTGTTCTATTGGGTTCTTTTGCCCCTTTTGTAGGATTCCTCTGATTGAATCAAGGCTGTAAAAACGGCAGTCTTTTTGAAATTAAGTATGTTTTGGCTTGAACAAGTTGGGGAGGTATGTGTCTACCTCCTTTTCATTTTCCATTTTCTGTTCTTAACTCGTTAAGGAGCAAAGGGCTAAAAAAAGACACCAGTGAATTTAAAGCATTTTGTCATCTGCACCCTTCATCTTTGGGTAGTTTAAAGATGTGAATCCATGATAAAGGCCTCTGTTACTTTAAGTCCTACTCTAAGATTGTATTTGCTCGTATCTTCTACACCCTTTCCCCCACTACCGCTCACTATATTTCCCACAGTTGTGCCCTTAGCTGGCCAGGGAACTAAGATGTTTACTTTTTATGATTGATTTGAGTAAGGAAATCAGTCTGTTGAAAACAGCCAGGTGACTCCCCTCCCCCAAATCCGTTCAGTATTATATTCTTTACAAATGTGGCTTCAAACATGGCTTTGGCCTCTGTGACCTTGGACATATATGGACTAGGAAGATGATTGAAGTACTCTAGGAAGATGTAAGAATTGAGATGGTCATAGTTAGCCTAGAACAATGGTTCTTGAGATTTTACAATAGTGACACTGTTAGATGATCATAGGCATTCCAGTAATGTGAGATGAGGTTGGTGGTATCCCATACTATAAAACTTCAGTCAAACCATACTCCTGCTCTTGGGGAAACATGAGGGACATAATAATTGAATTGTTTTGTAAAAAGCATTTAAGTTATTAAACAGTCACTTTTACATTAAAAAATATTTTCTCCACTTACTCAGCTAGAAATCATAGTACCTAATACATAGTATTAACCCTATGTTTTCCAAAACTTTCAAAAATTGTACCCCAAAATAAGAAATTCATTTTACGTGTCATCCTGGTAAGTACACACACATACACATACATATAATTTCAGAAGGAATATTTACCCTGTGTGTCATGAACTCTGATACTTTCTTTTAAAATCTATTATTTAAGAAAATGCTGCTATGATCTACTAAATTAATTTCACAACCCAGTAATGGGTCAGATGTACAGTTTGGGAAAAAGAACACTGCTAATTAATTAGTCTCTGGTCATAAGCAGCAGCTTCATTTAAGTTAGTTGGTTTTCCCGCATATTTAACTTACAGGAATTCAATTATGTGTGCTTGGTAAAGAAAAAGAAAGTGATTCCATGTACCATTCCACTCCATTGGAATGACCCAGGATAAGCATTTCCAAGTGTTTCTCTTAATATGAATATCTTATCCTACTTAATGTGATTGTAATAGTTAAACTTTTTTTCACATGGCTTCAGATTAGCAGTCAACAGAAACGTAATGCTTAGCTGAAGAAAAAGTGATTAATTTCAATGTGGAAAGAAAAGTTGTCTGGATTGAACATACTGAGGACAGGTTAGCTTACAAAAATAGCTTTTTCCTAAGGAACTTTCAAGGGTACTCCAGATATTAATTTTAAATCCATGACATTTATGCCTTATTTATTGATGTAGAACCTAACTCCACAATTCTCTTATTTTTGATTATGTATTTCAAGAATGTGGTCTGTTTGTGACCAAGGATGCTGCTATGGCTATGTATACATGCAGATTTATCACCACTGTAGAATATCATATAAGAAAAAAAGTTAAGTATGTGTTATATATATATACATACACACACACACACATGAACATGCACACACACATATGTATGTATATCTCAAAGCATATTTCTTTTTTTTAGTCACAGCCAAAAATACTAAACATAAGCCAATTTCAGGTAAAATATATTAGGGTATTTAAATGAAATTCATGTTTATTATTCCAGCTTTCATGATGAAACTAGCTTTCATGAAGCATGTGATGTTGGAATTAAGAGTATATGAGCAGGAAACTCAGCTAGTTATATTTTTCAGTTGACATTTAGGTGTGTTGAAACCTTGTCCTATCATTCACAAAGGAAAAGAAATTGAGAACATCTTGTATAATTAGAAGTCTCACCGTTGTTAGTAGCTGTATTCTAATAGATGAACCTTTTTGCACAATCATTTTTTCATAATAATGATTAAGTAAGGGGCTAGTTTGTGCCATACTCTTTTGATTGTTTTCCTTGAGCTCTGATAGGCTAATTATTAGTTTAAATATAGGAAATAGTTTTCATATGTTTGTTGAATTCACTCCTGCAGTAGAGGTCAATTGAGGGTCTATTATGTTGGCAGACACTAAACGAAATGGGAGAGTAAGTACTCTGTGAAAAAGACAGTATTGAGTGTCTGTGTTGGTAAAGTGGGTGTTTATTTCCATGCTGTCTAATAAATGAAAGTCAAAACCAATCCACTGCTAAAATAACTTAGACCCAAATCTTCGGGCATTTAGTCAACTCTTTCATTGGCTGAGTTTAATAAACTTTATGAGAAGGAGTAGAATTTTTTAATTTATATTTTAAATTACTCCATTTTGTGTGGAAGTTCTGTAGTAAGAATAAAGTATTTTGTAATGGGTAATATTTAATAATTTTTATTTTTAATTTTTTAAAAAGAGCATTTTTAAGTGCCCAAAGGAAAGGAAAATATAGAAAATATGATTGGCAATAGTTAGTTTCTTCATTTTAATAATGTCCAGGATAGTTTGGAAACTACTGTTTTGGTTTTCTAGGGGGATTTTTTTTTAAAATGTATATAAAGGAGGGTTTTTTTTTAATAGTTGTATAATCCACATTGAAGATAATATAGCAAAATAACTAAAAATCTTACAAAACTAATACATAGAATATCCCACAATCCATTTGTAGCATTTTACTGCTCACAGAAGAACTTGTTTTTTTCAAGTCAGATATCACTTATAAATGTTAGTATATTTAGGTGACAAAGTATTTCAGGTGAATACCATTCCTTCCATAAATTAATAACAAAAGATTTTAATAAGTGAATTTTAATAAAGAAATTGGAAATTTGAAAGTCCTCCCCAAAATGACTTCTGGGTATAAGTTATAATTATAAGTTAACAACAGCAAATTGTTTCTGGAGGAGTCTTTTCTTCTGATTGCTTTTTTTTATGGCTTCTATCATAAAAACAGCTTAAGAAGAGTTTGTTGTTACTTTCTCTTTGGTGGGGATTGAAGAGGAGATGTGAAATAACCATAACAACAGCAAAAAGAAAGAAAAAAAGCATAAATTAAGATATAAAGGTTTTTCACCAAAATTTATTGATTTTTTTACATTGTCCCTCTCGCTGTATTACAGCTAAGTTGTTTATTAGTAAGTTATACTTTTTTAAGCTGAAATAACTCAGTTATTTTATAAATGTTGAAAACCTGCTCCTTTTTGTGTTTTTAATTATATTAATCTTTCTTGCTTAGTATTTTAGGTAGAAAAGTTGAGGTGAAAAATACATATGAATCTTTACTATTTTCTTTTGAAGCGAGCTGTAAGATAAATTTGTAGGTTAACATTGGTTTCAGGGATCTTGTAATTTCATCCACATACCTTTTAAAAAGAGCACATAATGTTAACATAGTTTGCTTTTTCCTTCACTGACTTTCAGGTGGGTTATGACATGTGATTTCTTTATTGATGTTTCTTGTTTTCAACTGAAATCATTTTAATGCCCAAATGCTGAATTCTTCTAAAGAATAAAGTATGATATATAAGAATAGTTAGGTATGGGAGTACTTTTCTGTATTCATGGTGTCGAAAGTCTTTAGAAAACAGTCAAACAAAATAAATCCAAGATTTGAGTAATAAAAAAAATATAAAAATTTTAGAAGTAAGTATGCTTAATATATTTCTAATCTTAGAGTAGAGGCCTTTGTCTAAACTTGTAAAGAAAATCCATAAGCCATAAGAAAAAGATAAGTTTGAATATATAAAATTTATAACTACCTTTTTCCCCAAAATTCTCAATCATAAAGCTAAGGAAGCAACAACATACTGGGAAAATAACTAACATTTTTGGTATACATGAGCCCAATATTAAGATTTCCAGTGACACTTATATTTCATTGACAGAACTGAGTCACAAAGCCCATAGACAAGAGAGATCAGTCTTACAGTAGGACTGCAAAGAGCAGAAATCGTTTCTGTTATTGAGAGGAAGGGGAGAATGGATGATCGAGACAGATACAGTTAGAAATATCTGCCACACAAGTAAACCAAAACAAATAATCGAACAGATAAAGTATTATAAAATGAAATGTGCTTTAAAAAAAAATTAAGCAGGCTAAGGGGTTACCAGAGACTTGTGGGTTTTGGTGGCCATAAATATAGTAGTTAGGGAGGACTTCTGTTCTCTTGAAGAGGTGACATTTGAACAAAGACCTGAGTGAAGTGAGGTAATGATGTACATGAAAATCTGGTAGATGGTACATGTACAAAGGCCCTGTGTAAATAGAGCAAGAAGGTCTGTGTGAATAAGATGGTGAGTCATAGGTGAGGTTGGAGGGGTGTGTATTGGGCCAGGTGATGTGAAGTCATGTAGCCTTAGTAGAGTTTGGATTATTTTCCTAATCTGATGGAAACCCCTTGGAGAATTCTGAGCTGTAAGGAGCCCAGGAGACCATTGTAGCGAGCTATGCAAGAAGTGGAGTTGACTTTTACTAGGATGATGGTGGTAGAAGTGTTTAGAATTGGGATTTATTTTGTGGGTAAGGCTAATAGGATTTACTAATGATTTGGGTATAAAATGTGAAGAAAGAGAGCAACCAAGATTGACTCTTAGGTTTTAAGTCTGAACGGTGAGTAGATGGTGGTGTCATTTTCTGAGATGTGGAGAGGGCAGATATATGAGAGTAGGAAATCGACAGTTTTATTTTAGATAAATTAAATTTGAGATGCCTGTTAAGATTTGGCAGTTTAAAGGACCTTGAAAAAAAGATTTCAGCATGATAGCGGGGAGGGAAATCTGACTGGAGGAGGTTATAGAGTGAATGGGAGGTAAGGAAGTGGAGACAATGATTATAGGAATTTCAAGGAATTTTGCTGAAAAGGGCAGCTGCCAAGTGGAGCAGTAGCTGGGGGACAGTCTTAAATTTAGAAAAAATTTACTTTGATATTCAGTGTTTCAACATTTTGCATCCTCAGATGTCCGTAGTGTGAATAGTAAAGGTGAATGTAGGTTACCAGTGTAAGAACTTTCTAAAATAAAGCTTTCCTGTTACACTTTTCAGGAATCTGTTTTAATAGTTACAGAACTAGGGATCAAGTAATTATGCTTTTTCATTTTTAAATTTAATGCAGTATTTTGTCTTGTCTGCTATAGCTACAAAGCAGTGCACTTAAAATGTCTTTTATTTCTTTAAGGCTGATAAAGAATTCGTATGGTCTCTGTGGAAACGTCTACAGGTGACAAACCCAGATCTCACACAAGCAGTTAGTCTGATTGTGGAAAGGTGAGTTACCAAGTTCTTTTTTCATCAGTATTTAGTTCGTTGAATTTGTTTCTCTTCATTATTAAAATGAAAACTTGTCATTAATCCCCTGAAGAGATTAATTTGATTTCCAAATGAATGTTAAGCATGATACTGTAATTATTGAATTTATTTCAAGGTGTGTCAATTCCCTAAGTACAGATAGGCCTTGTCTTTTACTCATATTCTGACATATTTGCGAATTTTGCAGGTAAGAGATAGAACTATGACTTAGGCACCGTTTATTTGTGTATTTTGAGCTATTACTGCTCAACTTTTAAAAACTGGAGAAGTTCATGTTGTTTGGCTTCTGAGACTGCCCCTGTCGGCATCTTCCTAGAGATGATCCTTCCGAGACGTGGCTCACTTTTCCCCCCAAGATAATTGCAGTCTATACTTGAAAGCCTGGGATGACCTTGCAAGAGTAGAGTAAGTGTTCTGGAATAGGTTGTGAGGTTTCACTTAGCACTCTGTATTACCCTGTAGGGGATGCCCAGTCATTTAACTATAGATCATTGGGCCTCTCCTTGATCATTAGAAACAGTGGAGTGATGCTGGGTACTCCTTATCAAACATTTGGTATACAGTAGTCCCATGACACTTAGATAGCAATTAAAACACTTGCTTTCCTATTAAATGGATTCCATTACATTTCCTAAATGAGAAGCTAAGCATATGTTGCATTTTCTTTTTTCTTTATTGGAATTATGATTATGTAATCTGAATATCATTTTTGATAACTTGAACTATATTTGCCTTTGGAGTCTCTAGCTCTGGGATCATTCCAATAGTGTCTAGAATTTGACTTTTAAAAAATCTATGATACATACTTGTGTCTAATTTTACCTCCTTGGTTATTGTGAACTCTTAAAATAGTATAATTAGTTTCCTCTCATGTTCTTGTATGTTTAATTCATCAATAAGTTTTTCCCTTTTAATGATCAGAATTAAGTCTTCTGTTGAAGTACTGTTGTTAGTTCCTTAGTCATTCTTGAGATTAAATGTGATCACTCTCAGTTTCACTGTGTTTTTTAGCAGAATAGATCTTCAGAAGATATATTATTGGATTTCATTTGTCATTACTGTTATTCTTTCAGTACCCTCCTCTCCTTTTATTTGTGTACGTTTTTCAACTTTCTAATTTGTTCATTTTTTAAAACTTTTTAAAGTTATTATTAATTTTCACTTACTCTTGGTTGATATAGAAATAAATAATAAAATATTGTTAGGCTATCTTTTTCATCCTTTAAGACTTTCATTTTTTGTATTTTATAATATACATCTAAAAGTAGATGTATATACAGTTTATAAATAAATAGACACATATATTATGGGGTGAGTACCCAGAAGCCTTTTGCTCATAAGATACATAATGGAAAATTTTGGATATTACCTCTTTAATCTTGGAGCCATAATCTTCAAAATTTTAATGTGCACAAGATATACTTGGAGAATTAGTTAAAATGGAGATGTCTGGAACTTTCCTCTGATCTACTGAATCTGTAGGAGTGAGGCCCAGGAATCTTTAAAATAAGCTTTCCAGGTAATTCTGATGTCCATAGATCATACTATGAGATACTTTGGAACTCAAATCGACTTTTGACATTGGAAACCTATAGTTTGCATTTATAATTTTATAATTATATAAATATTTATTTCCTAGAGAACAATGTAGTGTGTTTGGACCTATTGATAAGGGAAATGGTATGATTAATAAAATATTCTGTGTATCAAAGTCAAATAGAATATCTTTCTTTATGGTTCATTAATTACCCAAATTATGCTACCTAAGTCATTTTATATTTGTGCCTTGGTCTTTCTGGACAAATATTTTCCCCCTGGAATTTCTAACTGCCTTTGTATTCTACTATTTCTTACCATAAAGAATATCAGTGTTCAGACATTTGAATAATGGGCTGAACACATTCTTCCTTGGGCCCTTTGGCTTATCGTATGAATTAGGGCCAGTTGCTTTCTGAACCTACTCATAATGTCATCCTAGGATTTCTTTTGATTGTGCTCCTGAACTAGTTTCAGTTTCTAGGATCCCACATCTTCCTTTTTCTTTTGTTGGGTTATATTTAAAAATTTTTTTCTCAGAAAGGATGCATAAGAGGTCCACGTTTTGACTCCTTACATGCCTAAAAGTATCCTTATTTTGTCCTTATGCTTGGTTGATATTTTAGCTGTACATTCTATTTTAGCTGTACATAAAATTTTTTAATTTAAATTTTATTAGCCTGGCAAATAAGAAAAGGGGTCCAAAATAGACAATAAATTCAACAAATATCTAAAAAATAGAAGGATGGACTCACAGAGACAAACCTAGAGGAGAAAAATCAAAATCCAAAATCCAAACAGTATCTATAATGAAAGAGAAAGCTGTTCTTTCTGGAAGAGGCCCAGAGAAGCTCTAATTACCCAGTCAGTAAATACAGAGAGCAGAAGTCCACAGAAATCAAGATGACTGACTAAGGAACCATTAACCAAAAAGTTAGGCTTCCCATTCATCCATGTTCACAACAGCTACCTGCAGCATTTGTGTACAGCAAATAGCCCAAAGAAAGAATAAATGGAAAAAATTTTTAAATCTTAAGTCTTGAGATTGAAAGACTCTACCAAGGGCTGAGAAGTTTGAATTTTTAAAAGACTCTAGATGATGTTGAAATTTTACAATATCACATGTAAAGAGAAAATCCTAAAATTTTCTTGTTAATTAGTCCTGCAAATTTAATTTCCTTGCTATTACAAATAAACTCTCACATAGAACATCTTTAGTGTCATAAGAGTATAACCACTGTATTTTACCTTTGAAAGCATAAGGAAACATTACAACTTGAACAGGTAGAAATGATAAACCCTGAAGAAACAGTAATACGGAGTTTCATAGAATATCAGTACCTTATGAACTGTAGAAACTTGAATTGTTCAGTTTTTCTTTGGATAACTAAAAATGTGTTATAGTGATTTTTGTGACTCAGCCAAGTTTCTGCCTCAGACACAGACTTCATCCTGACTTTTAAAATTAATAATATATTATTTTGTCTATAAAGAACACTATTTTGAGTTTGGAGTAGAACAACAGAAATTGCTATTATTTTGCTTACTAACATTGTGTAAATAATTTTATGGACATATCCAACAATGTACAGTTCTGCATTTTGTGTAGCTTTGCCTTAAGGTTCTGAGCTTGTGATCCACCTACAATAACAAAGAATCTCAGGAAGTGACCTTCTATATTTTTTTTGTTGCCACTAATCCATTCAGAGTTCTGCTATAGTTTTTTAATCTGTTTCCCTGTGCATGCGCTCTTTTTTTTACATTTGCTACTAGTTCTGATCTCTTTTGTATTACATACTTTCTGTTCTTTCTTTTCTGTTATTTAATATATATTTAAATGTCTTAGGACAATGATCTAAGTATGGTCTATAGACCTGTGTCAGTAGCAAACAATAAGGAATGTGTGCCAGAATATAAATCAAACTTATGCCTGCTTCTGTGAGAAAGTCTTATTATTTATACTGCCTTATTTCATAGCAGACCACTAATAACCAAGTCACAGCCCTGCATTTTGAGTAGCACTGCCTTAAGTTTCTGCACTATGGTATGTACCACCTTCACTAGAGATACTCTTAACTTCTGTGAGTGGAATAGAATAAATGATGAAGAGAACCAGAATGGCAGCCTTCAAGGAATCACCAACAATTCTTGAGGCTGTGATTAAGCTTGGGGAAAATGCATCATAAATGTGCTGTTAAATTTAAAGTTTTGGAAGTAATGAAATTAGAAAACTACAGGCATTCCCACTTTCTTTGTTTTATTGATAGAGAAGGGATTTATGGATGGTTTTTATATACTTATCAGCTTTAGGGTCTCTTTTTAGTGATGTAACTAATTCCTTCTCCACCTGTATGTTTTCCTGAGTTGCTGAATTTGATTTACTTTTTACTGTACCTGAGGATGGATGGAGGGAGGTTGTTTCGTGGGAAAGACAGCCTATAGACTACAAGACATAGAGCAGTAAATTTTAAGTGAGTCTACCCAAAACATTTCTAATTGTGGGGGGTTAATTTCTCTTACACATTTTGGTTTCAATGGATTAAATGACTTTTCATACCTATTATTGATTTGAAATTAGATCAGAAGATGTTAACTACATTCTCATGTAAATTTCTGGTTTAGTTTGTATCTTGAGGATTAGTACTAAAGCATTTGTTTTATTATCATGAGAATTATACTCTCTTTTCCCCCATTTTCAGAAATTACTCCAGAGATAAGAGCATAATACAGTGTATTTAAGTTGATGTTAATTGTGTTCTTGTGATTCATTAAATATCATTAAGTAAGCCATATACAGAGACCTCTTAGGCTCATGTGGCTGTATAGCTTCTTAAATACTACTTTCACAACATTTATATGTCAATATAATTATTTGTGTCAGTCTTTTGACTTTCCTATTGAACATTGTGAGGATAAGGACCACATTATACAGTTGTTTAAACTGAAGTATAGTCAGTTTACAATGTTCTGTCAATTTTTGGTGTACAGCATGATGTTTCAGTCGTACATATATGTACATTTATTTCTTTTCATATTTATTATAAGTTACTACAAGACATTGACTATCATTCCCTGTGCTATACAATATAAACTTACTGTTTTTCTATTTTATATATAGTAGTATCTGCAAATCTCGAGCTCTCAATTTATCCCTTCCCACCCTGTTTCCCCACTGGTAACCATAAGTTTTACATGTTTTCCACAGTGCTTAACACAGTCCTTGACTTTAGTGTATAAACACACTGAGTGAATGAATGAGCAAGTGAGCGAATGATATTAAAATAGAGGGTAGTTGAACTAATATCTTAAACATAAGGATAAGTAAGTATATTTGTATGTTAAGAAGGTAGTGTTAGGAAATAATCTAAGAAAGTCCTCAAATTTGTTTTGTTTATTATATTTAGTGAATTAAGTGCATGATT